AAAAAAAAAAAAAGAAAAAAGGGAGTGGACAAACATAAAAAGGGTGTATTCCTTGAATACGTTTTCTTAAAAAAAATTTATTAAAAAAAACGTATTCCTTGAATACGTTTTTATTTAACTGTTTTAATTAAAAAAAACTGAAAACAATTTTCAAAATTGTTTTCGTTAAATTAAAAAAAAAAAACGTATTTAAGTAATACGTTTTAAGAAAACGTATTTGAGTAATACGTTTTAAAAAAAAAAAATTTTTTTTTAAATACATTTAACAAAAACGTATTTAAGGAATACGTTTTATAATTAACTACACAAAAAACGTATTCCTTAAATACGTTTTATATAAAATATATTAAAAAAAAATCTTCTTCTCCATTCATTTTACGCGAGCATAATTGAGCAACAGAGAGCAGAGAGCGAGCGAGAGAACAGAACAGAAAGAGCGAAAATACTTGAGAAAAAAAAATTCGATCCAATCTTCACCCCGACGTGAACCGACAACAGCGATACGAGTCTTATTTCCGGTAAATTCATTCGCACGAGGTATATTTGCTTATCTTAACTTTTTATATTTGTTTGGAGTTATTTGGAGATTGAGAATTGTTATAATATGTTTGAATGTGTTGGTGCTTGAAGATTGAAATTGATAATTGATTAACGATTACGTGTGTATGGTGAATTGGAGATTGAAATATTATGTGTAAATTGTCAATTGTGTAATTGTTTGGGTGTTGTTGGGGTTAGGGTTTTCGAAATTAGGGTTTCAATTTATCGGAATTATAGATGATTTCTATGTTATTGTTCGGTAAGGTATTAGGGTTTTGAATGATTAAATGATTGGAGTATTTTTATTTTTTTTGGTTTTTTTGGTTGAAAGTGTATTATATGATATTGATGGATAATGAGTATTAGGGTTTGTTAAAAGAATTCGTGATTTTATTTTTAACAGGTATAAATGGAGTCTACCGGACCATATTTTGTTAACGTATATTGAAATCATCCCAAAGAGGTTTTAGATTCATTTTCAGATTTTATAAACCGTCCGGATGGTTCATTTAGCATTGGGGAGAAGTTATCATTTCAACAACTTAAAGATATACTTTATGAAATTTTTGGGCTCCATCGAGATGGTTGGATGATTGAGGGGATTAGTTTACTTACTAATCGACCCGATGGTTCGTGGAACATTGGAAACTTGATTACTGATAGTGCTTTACAGTGGATATATTATTTTCCTGCTTTCTCCTATGTGTATTTGCATTTAGAGTTGAAGGAGGTTACGCAGGCACCTACAGTGATTACACAGTTTGAGGATGTTTCCCATTTTTAAGGGGGAGTGCCTGATTTTGAGGGTACGTCCACTTTGCATGTTCGTAATTTTGGCGAAGGGACAAGCTCAACAGTTAGAGAAGAACCCGATGATGATTTCATTCCTGATGAAGACGATTTGACAGATTATACATCGGAAACGGAATCAGATAGATCAATAAACGAGGAGAGTGAACCAGAGTTTATTGAAGAGCACCCATTTCCTAGTACCGGTCAGCACGTGTATCGCGAGATGGGTGAGTGGGACCCCTCGTGTGTAGACCGGGATGAGTATGCTCTCCCTCGTTGGAATGGAAATGTCGAGACTATCCGTTTGGGTACTGTTTTCCGGTCCAAGGAAGAAGCACATATTGGTATAATGAATTGGAATGTTAGTAGATTGAGGAAAGTTAGGACAAAAGATTCGAATAAGAAATCATTCAAGGTGGTGTGCAAATCCGCTGAAGCTCAACCTTGTTCCTGGAAGGCTCGGGTGACTCACCGCACACGGGTTCATGATCTGTGGGAAGTAACAGAATAGACCGAGAGGCATAGTTGTATGCAAGAAGCCGACAAAAATGACCACATAAATGTAACCGCCACAATGATTTCCAATCTTATCATGACCAAGATCCAAAAGAAACCCGAGTACAGTGTTACCCTGATCCAGGAGGATGTCAAAAAATGTTGGAAAGTCGATGTGAGCTATAAGAAGGCGTGGCATGGGAGGAAAAAAGCCATCGACAGTTTGTATGGCACTTGGGAAGAGAACTTCGCACAACTCCCTCAGTAAGAAAAAAATTTATTAAAAGTGTACGTATCATTTATTTTATCTCACTGTGTTTATGTATTAACGATTACGTTTTATAATGTGCAGATTTTTTGCGGCGCTTCAAAGAGCGAATCCCACTACAGTTGTACAGTGGGAATGGCAGGGTGGGGAAATGGCGGCCCACTATGAGCACAAAGAATTCAAATTTGTTTTCTGGGCTTTTGGTCCCGCCATTCAGACCTTCCAGAGATGCCCGTTGGTAATTAGCATGGACGACACGCATTTGCGTGGCTCGTACAAGGGGAAGTTGCTTGTGGCCGTTGCACAGACTGCGAATAAGCGGTTATTGCCAATCGCGTATGCGATTGTGGATGAAGAGAGCAGGGAAAGCTGGTCATTTTTCCTGAAAAATCTACGGCAACATGTTGTCGGCGACACAGATATGTTTTCTTTCGGACAGGTGTTTGTCCCATTTTTGTGTCTTTAGTTTGGGTTTATTTTCTCTTTATTTTTCCCCACGTATAGGATTTTCGTAGTTTATTTGGTCCAATTCTGTGATTTTTCTGTTTTTTCTATTTAGTTCGTTTTGTGCGTCTTTTTGCTGTGTTTTGCTTCGTGTTTTCTTCGTGTTTGTGTTTTTAGGAGGTAGGTTGTGTTGATCGAGGACGGGACTACTTGAGCTGAGACCGGGATATCAAGAAGACCCATTAACGTGCTCAGAATACTGAAGGAAGGACGGAAAAAACGGACCGAAAAGCTGCCCAGAACTTCTCGCGACTCGTGAGTCAGTGTCGCGACTCGCGAGATGGTCGCGACTCGCGAGAATGTCACGACTCGCGAGTCCAACAGAGACGAAAAGCTGAATTTCGCGGGACGAGTCGCAACTCGCGAGTCCATGTCGCGACTCGCGAGACAAGTCGCGACTCGCGAGTCAGGTCGCGAGTTTCCCCAGAATTTAAATATTTTTCGAAGACGCGCGACTCGCGAGATGTCGCGACTCGCGACACGGCTAAAGTGTAAGTCGCGACTCGCGAGATAACTTGCTTTGGATTGGATGTTTTTGGATTCAACATTGAACCATCATTATTAATCGTAAGTTTTCTTTTCTCAATTGTGCGATTGATGATGATGGCTTGGGTTTGTATGAATGTTGATGTTGAATTCCATATGAGTAGCTAAATCCATATGCTAGGGATAGGGGATGATTGATTAGGTTCGATTATAATTGCTTGTTCTTAATTGTTCATATCTATTCAAGTTGTTCTTATTCTAGGGTTAGTAGATTGATCACCTTTCTAACCTATTTAATCAACGTGTAGAACTGAGAGGGGAGACGTTGGTCGATATAGGCTTGATTAGAGTAGACTTGTTCGTAATAGTATTGTCTATGAGTTGCTGGAATTGATAGTTAATCGTGTACGTTCACTCTCTTGTTACGAAGAGTTATTGAGAGTGAGCCTCTGGACGAGAAACGATTCAAGTCCTTTAACCGAGCAATTGGTTTCCGGTAGTTGTGTTAGAACCGAAAGCAATTATCCCCGATTCCCTAGCTCTTTAATCATTTAAGTTTATTCACTTGCTATTTAATTTGTTTGCATTAGTTTTAAATCTTTAGCTAATAATCGAAACCCCAAAACCATTGAAATAGAGTGTTTAGGATTTTTCTTTTCTTTCTCGTGATCGAATAATCGTACAATTAAATCCGGCTAACCTTCCTTGCGATACGACACGGGGAACGAATCTTTCGATTCTACTCTGGTAAAAATACCCACAACAAAATTGGCACCGTTGCACATCCTTGATCATCGAGCACTCCGAGCCACACATCATCATCAGCAGCATCCGGCTGCGTCTTCTGCCCCACCAGCTTGGTGGTCCCAGCCTCCGCCTTGGTGGACGGCGTTCGAGGACCGCTATGATCGTGACATGCGAGATATCAGCGCCCAGCTCGCGAGCGTCAACCTCCGTGTGGAGGCTTTTGAGGCTCGCCACGCACAGTGGGACGAGCGC